ACACCGCATGATATCCTAGGTGGGCTATTGCCTATGCACGCATATATAATACCTGTTTCCATATATAGTATTAGTATCATGGCCAATAACAAAGTCAAATTGGGGATATTTTTTTTTTTCTTCTTTTTTAACTTTAGCTGATGAGATTAACATCCTTCCACTTTGTCCCCCTCCTCCCCCAATCTTCTTTTTATTTCCTTCACACTTTTTTGATACCACGACATCAAGAGGTGAGGATTTAGGTAAGTTACATAGTTTATTAATCATAATAATTTGATTTGAGATCGATATTAACGAGAGCTCAATATATATTTCTTATTTAAAAATAAAAATATATTACCAGACAGTAGTGCTAAATAGGAACACCTGTACTAAGTGGCAACACTTTATGCTTTATTTGTTTGATCTTTGATGTTCTTCTTCGGAATGGGTGGAGGGTTCCCATCTTTCTCCTTTTCCTTGAGCCATTGCTTTTCTCATAGGAAAGGAATATTGCCAGTGCTTCTTAAAAAGCCCTTTTGGGCCCCATCTCCAGTCCAATCATGTGGGCCCATTCTGTCTGCTCCGGCCCATTACATTTTCTCACTATTCATTAAATAAAGACGTTGTTGCGTAAATAAACAGAATGCCGACGTGGCCTTTGCGTTGAGGGGGTTGGTGTCATTGAAGTGGAGACTTGGCCCCACCCCAAACAAGCCACTTTGTCCTACTCACAGGATTTGGATCCCATCCGGATCCAAAAGATTAGAAATTTTTACATTTTAATCATTCATCGTATATCATGCGGTAATAAAATTATTTAAAATTAAACACAAAATAGTACCTAATGAACACTGACCGCACGACGATTAACGATTAAAATGTGAAGATCTTTTATATCTCTATAAAAATGATCAGGAGTGAGGTTCCTCATCCATACTCACAGTTTGAAGTGACACCTCTCTCTCTCTCTCTCACTCTCTCCTTTGAACCTTTGCTTGTTTGGTACACATGAATGTCGTAGTACCCTTTAGTTTACATCATTCCATTCCTCCATGCTCTGTTACTTTCACCATAAAGTTTTAACCACAAATGGATGAACGCCACACATGGTTAGATATTGGTTAGGTGTGTTACTCAAGCAAAGATTATAAGTTACTTCGTTGGAGAGTGAAAAATTATACCACACAACATACATGCACAGTTAATTTTTCTCTTATTTGCCTCTCGTATGTTACTTATGTGATCATTTATTGTTAGAAAAGAAAACTCATCTATACATAATAAGTACTTCTTTTTTATTCGATCGCCTCACAACGATTGGTAATGTACATTGTAAAACTAATATATATCACGATATCTACTTCTTTATGAATCACCTTCAAAGCCAGGCCTGAGAGTAGTTGAATAAGACGACAACTAGGGCCCCAATCTTGGTGGGAGGAATGTTTTTTAAAATGGTATAGATATTATAAATTAATAAAAGTAACCCAAATTCAGCAAATGAGTTGCTGGCGTGGTGGAAATAGAGTGTGTAATCTTTCTTGGTGTTGGCAGTTTGGAATCCGACAGTGTTGTTTATACACATCAATGTACAAAGGATCGGGAGCTAGAGGACTTTAGGGTTCCACTTTGAAGGCTCGCTACAGCCCTTAAATTCTTAGAACCAGTCCATATCGCCCCTTAGGTATTAATCATGTGATAATTCTTACTAGAAATGATTTACGCACACTATTTTTTTGTCTATATTATTTTTACATGGAAAACAGTTCTAGAAGAAGGGTAGCCCACTATTGTTTCACCTTGCGAATAAGCACTATATGACAAAGTCCTTTTTAGGAGCATTGGATCTAGCAATCGACTTTAGCAAAAATGAAAGTAATCCTTTTTATAACTACCTGACTTTAACAACTTTTAATTACTAAACAAAAAAAAAAAAACCATAAACTAGGCGCTTTGATTGATTTTTAACAACCTTTCCTTTTATAAAACGCATAGATCTAAATCCTCACTTTAAAGGGGTCCAATTTAAAACATAGTTCCCTCAAGTTCCCTTACGACCATGTTCTTCTTTTCTTTTCTTATTTCATCGAAGCACGATACATTATTTTTTAAAATTTATAATGCACTCACGGTTTCAAGATATGTTATTTTAAATAAAATTTAACTTAATAAATATATATATAGCATATTTATGTGAATCAAACTTAAAGCATTTTAACGTTAACGAGCCGATGAAGTTTGAGGTAGATGAACTAAGGAAGAGGGAGATACCCAAGCATGCATTAGATGAATGGTACCTACAAGATTTGAAACCAAATCTATTTAGTTAATGTGATTTTGACTCTTAAGGAATCTCAATAAACCTAATAGCGTATTATCTTTCCTAGATAAGAAAACTTTCTACAACTCATTATAAATAATTACGTGTTTATTTTTTTATCATGCGCGTATACGTATGAGATATATAAACTCATAATTATATACAACTCGTGACAATTCGTAGAGACCTATTCATTTCAGATGAAAGTGATATGAGAAGTTTGTCCAAAACCAATTGGTGCACTTTTATAACCAGGCAAAGTGATAAATATGACTTGCAGATTCTGATGCGAACAAAGAAGTGGGTTTGATTTTGTACATTTCCGCTTTGAATTGAATGGATTTCTACATAAATTTATGATCCATGGGATTCAATGGATGTGTTTTACGAAGAAAATTGATGTTACATTATAAAATTAATAGACAATATGAAGAGTAGTCCAACCTTTTATAAACCCTTGCAATGTTTCTCTTTTCACTGATATAGAACTTTTTTTATCTTCACATCCTTACACGCTCCCTTACATATAGCGAATTTTCAAGCCAAACACGAATTAGGTGACGTAAAGCACGTGTGGCTGTTAGGCTTCACACATAGGCCAACCTACTCTAATACCATGAAGAAAGTTAAAGTTCCACCATAAAACTAATTAGCAGCCCAACCTCTTATAAGTCATTGCAATGTTTCTTCTTTCACCGACGTAGGACTTTTTTATCTTCACATCCTCATATGTTAAAGAACATGGACAAATTAGCTGGTGGTGCAAGGACAATATGGTTTCAATAGCAATAAATGACTGAGAATAACCATGCATGTTTTATAAGCATTCATATGGCCTCAATTTTGGTGCATTTTGGTATTTTGGTTCCTACATTTTAAGACATTAAGGACGTGGTTCAAACGGTGGCTTTAAAAGCCTCATGGACGACTTTAACACCTTAAGTCCTTATGTTCAATTTGTTCGTAGTTAAGAACCAATGTCTTGTGGGGATGAAAATACCAAAGACTTGAAGAGTAGCTGAGTTGAATTCATTCTTTTGCTTCTGACATGCTAAACGTTATATTTGACAATGAAGTTGAAAGTCAGAGTACATCGAATAGACGAACAAACATACTACAAAACTGATATAAAAAAAAATTTGGTAAAAAATATTTAAAAAGTGAAAAACAAATATGGAAGATTCTAGTAAAAATGAATATTGAGTTGTGAAGGGAAAATGAAGAAGATGGTTGGACTTTTATAGAATAACAATATTTTTATTTATTTTTACCATTGGATTAATCTTAGCTATTGATTTTCAAACTAATTTGAAATCAAACGCACCAGAATGCGCCACGTGTCACAAGATAAAATTTTCAATTTTTTTACTATTGAAATCCGCATAGTCCAGATACTTTGGTACTTAGAAATCCAACAGTTGTAAGGAAGCCACGTCAACGAGTTGTTGGGCTATGTTAATTTGCTGCAGCAGGCCCCACTGTTGTAGTTTTTGTCTCCCAATTGCCAAAATCGAGTGTGTACTAAACGCGCCTGATAAAAAAAAAATTAAAATAATGGTTGACTTCGGACATCGGCTGCCTACTAGGGCAAGGTCACGCTTATCTTGCTTGACCTTTTAGACAGGCTGGAGTTGGCCCAAAACTTACCCTCGACAAATTGTCCTTGTCATCCACCAACTGGTGGACATGCTCTAATAAGAGCTGATTTTCACATACCCTTTTTCACCTCTCACACATTACTCTGAAACAAAAATAACAAATATAATTAAGGAGAAGCTATAGGAGGACAAAAGCGGTGTGTGGTTATAACTTAAATGTTACTTGTTTCTCAACAATGATCACATAAGGGCTTGAACTAGGGAGCAATAAGTCCATGTCCATAAAGGCCCGATCCAGTACAATGCTGGGCTTGGGAAAACCTTGCCCGTGTTCTTGTGGGAGAGCCTAGCCGGGAGAAGACGAATTTACAGGAAAGGATTCGGCTTTTTTTTTTTTTTTTTTTTGGGTGAACGATTTAGAGTCCTTTTTCACAACGCTCAAATTCAAATGGAAAAAAAGCATGACAAGAGTCACCTAAAAAGAAAATTTCATGGAAAAAAGTGCAGTTGCATTAAGAAAATGATTAGAATGGAGTAAAATATTGATCAGAACTCATGACCTCTTCCGACAAAATGAAGATTGAATCCCACTAGACCGTATTATGGCAATTAATTTGATTCACTTAGACATTGGTATGCGACTATGTGAGGGTGTTCATAAGAAAAGAGCATTAATCCAGCTGCAGTACCAACAAATAGTTTTTTAACAGCCCGTAAAAAGTTACTAGACGGCGTCAATTCTTCTTTTTTCCCTAGAAAAATGATTTTCAAATGCATTTTCTTCTTCCGCACACCCTTGTTCATTTATGTCCCGTGATTCTTTTTTTATTTATTCAATCTAATTGTGTGAAATTAACAAGAGTGTGCAGCAAGAAAAGGGGCATGAAAAGCCTTTCTCCTTTCCCTATACACTTGAATTTCAAATTAACACGTTAAAAAAACGTCTCAAATGACATCAGAAGACGAAGGCAGTCACATTAATGGCAACGCTATACGAAGGGTATTGATTTTCACTCTCGTTTTCTCTGCACTTATTTCCGTGTTTTGATCATTTGATTCATTCAATCTAAAGGCTTTAAGAAACAGGAATGCAGGGGATATCATGCGAATGCGGAAATCACTTCCCTACGCAGAATTAGTAATTTAAGTAACGGGCACAGATACTTTTGAAGAGCATAGATATGAGATTTTCTAATTCTAAACCAACCTCCCAACTGAAGTTTTAACAGAACAAAAAGGGTAGACGATAGCGAAAAGACCGGCAACAGCAACAAAAAAAGCATATAATAAGATGAGAAATATGACAGGACGAACTTCTGGCCAACACAACCACTTATACCTCCCACGGATTAAGTTCTTCCCGACGACCATCAAATTTTTAGTTGTTCCAAGATTTTAACCGTCTTCGATTCCACCAAATCATCGGCAGCTGCTCTTACAGTTTCCTCTACTTGACCTATGGGTTTATTCTGCACACCGGGAGCAATAACAGCAGCAGGATCTTTCGGAATGATTGGAGGATCTTCTTTCAGAATGATTGGGGAATCTTCTTTCGCAATGATTGGAGGATCTTCTTTCACAATGACTGGAGATTCTTCTTTCCGAGTGGTCGGTGGATCATCTTTCTTAACCGGTGGAGCAGAAAATACAGGTACAGCCTGCCTCATTGTGACAGGAGGAGCCACACGTACAGGTGGAATACGCATTGTTTGGCAGGGCATTGCATGAGGTGGCGGAAGTGGTGGTGCTGAGAACACAGGCACTGCTGTTCTTATTGTCACCGGTGGTGCAATTCCATGGCAAGGAGTCCTCAATTGTCTAATGGGTACATAAGGAGCTGCTCCTGCAGCAGGGAATCTGTGGGGACGCATCACACGGCTGTCTAGTGGAGAAGCCTGTGATGAAGCAACACGATTATCATGTGTTGCATTTGATTGGTACCTGCTCCGGGAAGCTTGCTTTTGGCAAATTAAGGGCAGTATTTTTGAGGTGTGAGCAGGAGGAGGTTGTGGACTTGTAGGTCTGCGGTTCTGAACTGGAAACTTCTTTGGAAATAGAATTGGAGCAGTTGGATTTGCCATCGTCATCTTTTCCTTTATACGATAATTGAGCAAGGCTCGTGCTATAGTGATCTGTTCCAGCTCATCATTGTTCTCTGGCTCAGACGAAGAGCTTGCAGTTTCCTTTGCCACTGTCCAATAGAAAACAGGTGATTCAAGTTAAACACAAAATTATTAAACTTAGACCTCGACTCTCATAATTCATCACCAAGTTTAACACATAAAGTTAACCAAGTCCATATATATTTTTTAACGAGAACATAATATGTAAGAATAACTTCAAAGCAATATCGCATTAATTTAATAGCGAGTATCATACGGAAAGAAATGACAAAAAGTCAGAAACTGTTTTATGTCGCCAATGAGAACATTAAAATGCAAGCAACAGATGCAAAATGTTGTTTAATGCACCACATTAGTTCAACTAATTTGATTAAGATGGAGACTAAACTAAAACCAAATTCAAGCAAAGGGGCAAGCATTGTGATCTGAAATTACAAAGCGATGAGATATAAGTCTGACTAGTACACAGGGACTCACATTGTTTCAAAGACGACCAAGCTGCCATTGCTGCATTCTTCTCTGCTTGTTTTTTGTTCTTGGCAGGTTCCCCCGTAAATGTGATTCCAGCCAATTCAACTACCCCGGTGAAAACAGGTAGGTGGCCAAGGCCAGACCTGAAGGTTGTGTACTGCGGCAACGGAGCTCCTACCCTTTGAGCAATTTCCTGCAAGAGGTTCTTGTAAACCCCCGTCTCATCCTGAGCAAAACAAACACCTTATCAGAATCAAGACAACAAAACAAATCGCAAAACGCATTGGACACCAACACATCAAAGCGATAATGATATCGGTAAAAATTACACCGACCCAGTTAAACTAATTACATTTGGTAGCAAAATTTGAATTTCGACAACAAAATTGCCAATGTATCCAACATATTATTGGAAGGGAGGACTGTTCAGGTGTCATATCAATTCGCAACCAACCCGAAAACTGTAGATTAAGCAAGAAAACTAAAACTTCCTCGATGCCTATTAACTCAACTAGAATGCATTTCAATTTCCATAAAAAACTAGACAATCAAATTTCATGAGATCAAATTTCCTCCTAATTTCACCAATACACAAGACAAGTTGCGAAAAGAAAATGACTTGCCCTGTTTTCCCGGCAACCAATCAGGCGGTCAACCAGAAAGAACAGGTTCCATATAGTTGACTCTGGAAACCCACGATTTAATATGACCAAAATACCCCTTTCCGAAGTATTTAATTACTGACATTTCCAGTTCGCAGGGTCGTCAGCTTTTTCAGAATTCAGAGAATCCAAACCGGATTTTAAGAAATCCCCAACGCTATCAACTACAAAATGAAGAGGGACATTTCGGTCATATCGTCAACCTCACCCCAGTTTCCAACCTCAAAAACCTAATCCTGGCCGGCCAGTGATCATTGCGCAGAACAGGCTTGATCACTTACACGGCGCACATTAGCAAACCCCTAAATTTCGAAATTACGGAAAACAAATTTTAATTTTTTAAATTACCGAATTCAGTTACAGAGCTCATCATGTTCACACAGTAACTGATCAGCGAGAAACGGAGCGGCGACCGAGGACCACGCGCGCAAAAACCCTAAAGGAATCCTAACAGCTTGAAGAGAAGGAGAGAGAGAGAACTAACCAGAATCCTAGCGGCAAGAGAGTGAGATGGGCCGCGATTGGAGAGGTAGTTGAGGGCGACCTCGGCGGCGGAGTGCTCGGCCTGGCGGAGAGTGGTGCAGTAGTGAGGGCTTTCGAAGATCTCGCCGTTAAAGTTGACGGTGGCCTTGAACCTGGGCGCGTGGTCCGGACCTTCCCGAATGCACGTGTAGGAAGGCAAGTTGAAGCAGCTCCTTTGGGCCAGCTCTTGCAGCTGGTTCTTGTACATTTCTTCTCCCCTGTACTCTTCTCTCCCCCTCTCTGCGTGTCTGTGCCCGACCCAACTGTTCTCGAAGCTCCGAAGTTGGGTTCTGGTAATGGGAGGAGCCCGGGAAGATCGGATCGGCGCCGATTTTGGGTCGGGTGGAAAGTGGGTTTGGGTTTTTGGGGCCGGCAGGAAATGGGTCGGGTTGAGATCAGAGATTTTTAGGGTTCTTTGGGGATGGGGGTGTGAAATTGAGTTTGAAGAGAGAGAGGAAGGTTGGGACTTTGGAGTTGGGGGATGTGAAGCTGCAAAAAGCAGAGAGAGAAACGGAGAGACGGATAGATGGAGAAAAGAGAAAAAGGTAGGGGGTGGGGGTAATATTTCTGGATAGTGGAGTTTTTCTTTTTGGAAGGTAATTATAAAATATTGGGGAGAGAGAAAAAGGGTGGGAGAGAGAGAAGAGGGGAGAGGGGGGGGGGGGGGGGTAGTTAATTAAATAGTGGGGTTTTAGTACTGTTAGTCAACCGAACGTTAGGCTGCATGGGTTCATTTTTTTTCTTTTTTTTTTTTCTCAAAAATAGAATCAACCAAAGCGAGAAACCTCGCAAATAACCAGTACCATTACAATAAAAAATAAAACTAGGAGTAGCCCGTAAGAGAATAGTCATATCCCGAATATACACTTTAGAGGGGGATGAACTCACATTAACCACGATATCAATCATAAAGTTTGTTTATTGATAAATATGCTTTTAAGTTACCTAATGAAATGATGAAGTCAATTAACGAATGTTTTCAATCGTGTCTTGAGTTCTCCGAGGGATATAACCCTTATATTCCACGGATCAATAACTAATTTAGAGTATTCCTCCACATAAATTTTAAAGAAACCCTTCTATTTTGCAAAGTTGAGTGCATCTCTAAGCGTGGCGCTTCAGCCACCAATACAGTACATTCATTTTATGTTTTCCCCTCTTTTTCTATATTTTCTTGTTTTTCTCTCTTTATTTCTTATTTCTTGTTGTTTTCCTTCTTTTTACTATTTTACATATTCATTTTATATATTCTTATAACTTCAAATTTACCACCAAAACACAAATAAAAACAAAAAATTTACATGTACATCGTAACTATTTGTTTGAGATACTTTATTAAGAAATGATAATTGCACATTATTTTTTTCGTACACACTTTTGTTCAATTTTGTACGTTGTTCTTATTTGATTTATTTAATTTTATAACCATAAATAAAAAAAGAGTTTATTTGAAGAGAAAAAATTGTGTGCAGTTATCCTTTCTCTTTCACTACTCTCAATTAAGTTTGTATTATTTTATTATTATTTACCAACGATATTTCAAGAACATTTAATTTTGTTTCTTAAAAGGGAGTGAAAACGTATAGTCGTTTCGTTGCTCTCAATGAGTGTCTTACATGATTCATATACACTGTATGCTGATGTTGGGGCACTTTTAGGTCAAGGTGGACTGGGGCTTTGAGAACATCCTCTTGACTTCCTTGGTACGTATTCGTAACAAGTCCCGGGATATCTCGAAAGAGTTAGCTTGTCTTAGGAAATACTCCGGTAACATCAACGACTCAAAGCTAGCATGAATGATCAAGATAATGACTTGCTCAAGTGAAGCGTAGTGTGGAAGCTAGAAGATTATCAGTTTACATGAGAGAGAAGGGATTTGCATGGTTGCATGGCATTCTTTGCTAGATAATCTGGGCTTCCCTATGGTGATAGTAAGGTTTCTAATGGCTGAGATGTTTAATGCAAAACTATTACTAAGGTTGCATAGATGGTGATGCTTGGGGCTTGGAGTATGCTTATGGGCTAAGTGGAACTTTTCGGGCTTCTTCCTGGGTGGTTCTCTCTCACTATGTTTTCTTTATCTCCATATATGTGTTCTTCCAATCTCCATTTCTATAATGGTTTCTCCCTTCTTATGTAAGTGAAGGGTTCTTCTCTAAGCTTCAAAGGAATCTCCCTTTGTGGCTTGGTCTCCCCCTCCTTTCTCCCTAGCCCTCATATTATTCCCATTTTGGTGTAAGATAGTTGCACTGTTGAGACCAGCAGTTTGCTTCATCTCGAGAGTCGGCTTTCCCAGGGCGGCCTTCCGCATACGCTACTTCTGGTAGCGTGCCTCATGGCTTTTGCGCTTTGGTTGTTTGTGTAGACTGGGAAGGGAAAATTTGCATTAAATGCCTGACTTGCTGGGCTTAACATGCATTTAATGCAAGAATCTGGTTTAATCCTAACTAAAGGAGTTGGCTTGCTAGGGAAAGGGGTAAACTAAGCTAATTCTATCTCAATGATGCCTGCGTGAAATACAAAGGGTATGGGCTTGGATATTTGGGCCCTTAAGTAGCCCAAAGTCTTCCATAACCCCAATTCCACGTAGGCCCGATAACCTTTTGTAACCATCCACCCCACAATCCACTTGACAAGCCCCGAATAAGTGACTTAGGCTTCGCATGAATTGTGGCTAAGGAAGCATGGCGTGATGAATAGGCATGAGCATGGTGTGAATATCTGGCTTAATCACCGTGACATGGCATGTTTGTAAATATATCCCTCGTCGATCTCGTGCCTTGGCATGTGTTTGGGCTTGAACGTAGGCTTTGCATGACAATTGGACCTTGATACTTGGCTGGCTTGGTGTGTGACATTTTTGGGCCCCAACAGCTGATTATGTGATGATACAACCACTGCATATGAGACACTCGTTGTAAGCAATAAAATGACTATATGTCAGTTATAACCAATGCATGTTAAACACCCCTTATCTATACTCGAACAATAAATATGTCAGTTATAATCAGTGCATGTTACACACCCGTTAAATACAATTGTGTCTGGGAAGATTTATTGTTTGTTCTCGATGGCCAACGCATGTTTGACACTTGTTAGTTGCAATTTGACGATCGTAAAAATGTTATGACTAGTGAATGTAGGATGCACGTTGAGTAAAACTGCAATAGGTAAAATTTTCTCCAAAACAGGTTCAAATTGATTGTTTGTATGTTTTTTGTGTTACTAAACATCTATTACACAATTGAGCTTTATTTCGTGTAGGCGTTCTAAAGAATATATTTCCTTTCGTGGTCCACAACATGTGGAAAAATCAATTCATCTTTCAATATTATTGTTACAAACTTTTAATGATTTTTAGTATATGAATAGTATTTGCAATGCTTAGCAATTTTCACACTCTAGCAATATATACCTCTACAATTAGTCTCCTTGTTTGTAAGATTTCATGTTTTTTTTTTTTTTTTTTTTTAATGGAGTCCGATGAACACACGACTAAGGCATTCGAAAAGAACAATCAAATAACTATCAAAATGCAAACAAACAGACTTCTTCAAGAGCAAAAAGTCCCCAAATTTATTCAACCCATATCTCCAGGAAACTAGAAGGGAAAAAAACTCCAATCATTGAACTCATTCATCTAATTGCCAAAAATGGTAAGGTGGAAAAAAACCCATATCTCATTCAACATACAAGGATCTCCAATTCTTCTTGAGTTCAAGATCGGAGTCGACTGATCTGCGTCTGCTCGGTGCTCACGAGGCAGAGTTCTTTCTTCTGTTCAAAGGAAAAATAAAGAGAGAAAAATATAACGTTACCCGTTTATAAATTAGGGGCTAAAAATATTTTTCTAAAAGGGTAAATATGTTATTAACACTTTTATTTTAACCATATAATACTCGTAGGCATTAACGATTTAACAAGTGGCTGATGAGGGCTATCAATTATTTTAGTCTTGAGTTTTGGATTTCTAATCTTCCTTACATTCCAGCAGAAAATAGTTGGTTGATCAAATGCAACTAGAGTTCTGAGTGCTGTTGAGTATGCTTTCGTGCCTGGAAACTGCAACAGGCCGGCTCACTTGACGGCCTCATACACTTAATACTAAAGGGGATTCACATTGATGCGGATTTTTGTTTCCTGAATTTTTATTTAATATTCTTGCTGAGGATGTAATATTGATATTTGAATTAATTGAATAAAGCTATCGTCTGATAGAAAAAAAAAAAAAATTCAAATCAGACTAGAGGCTAAATGTTGGTCACTTAGTATTGCAATCTAGTGATATTCCTCTTCATTTGTAAGTGTGAAGTCTTAGATTAGATTCTAGCCAAAGACAAATTTGAACTACATTATTGCTAGCATATTGTGAGACTTAGCCCACTCTTCCGTCCCCTTAGTGTATATAATATCTTTAAAAAAAATTTAATAAAATAAAAACTAGAGCCTGAATGTTGCACAACAATTTAGGCCATCTCCAACCGAAGGCTGACCAGAGGGCTAGTTTTAGCCATCTGGTCCTCCAAGAAATTAATATTTTAATGAACAATATAGGGCCATATTTGCATCCATCTCCAACCAAGGGTTATAGGGCTTATTTTAGCCCTGTCACAAAAAACCATCTCCAACTGAGGGCCATACGGCCAAACATAATTTATTATTTAAAAACTACAACTTAAATTCAAATCCAACGGCTAAGTGACGTCAGTATGACTTCAGCTAGCCGTTGTGTCACACCCCGGCCCCAAAATATTTATTTTCGGGAATTAAGTTTGTTGATAGGCCCAAAATAAAACTCTTGTTTATTTAGCCGCCAATAGTCACGACCCTTTAATTAAGTTCCTTAAATCCACAAGTTCTATAACCTGAATTTTCTTATCAAAACATAACAATTTTATTCCCAATTCATTACCCTTTACTTCTCTTAGATCAATTTTTCCAAACTAAGAATAGTTCTTAACTAATTTGTAATTCTTGATTATTTAACCTCGTTTACTTTTATGACTGCATCTAACTTCTTGTTAGACTGCCTATGTACCCTAAACAGGGATCAAGCCATTCGTAGTTTACATATACAAAAATTCAAACCAAATCCAAATATATTCATTTAATCTAACTTATACCACAATCGTTTTAATATTAAAACACAACAGTTAGATCTCAAAAGTATAATTAGAATAATGAAATTTGTCTAAAAACACAATGTCGACTCCCTGGCTGTGCGCCGCTGTGGGTTATGGTCAGCCGCCCCGGCTCGTCGAAAAATTCAGCTATTTCTAAAAATTCTCAAAAATTATAGAACTTAAGATCTCAAAGAGTAGAACAAACTTTATACCTGCGGCCAAGTCCAATTTGACTTGGAAAGCCTTCAATTTGCCTCAAACCTGCCGGAAACCCTATAATTTGGGTGACCTCGATCCATGTCCTCTGGTGTTCCACCGCCCCA